TCTTTTCATTTTTTCTTTGTCCCTTCTCACAAAATTCTTCAAAGCTTTATCAAGCCTCTTTTGTAAATCCAATATAGGAAAATTACCCAGGCCTCTCTCTTATTTGTATAGCCCTTTTAAATGATTAAGACATCAGCCAGTTTCTTTTGTATATCCAGTGTAGCATCTTTTTCTGTATCATTTTTGTAGCCTGTCATTTTTAAATCCACTTTCAGATCAGTCTCAATCTTGTCAGGTAAAACTTGTTCCTCTTCCATAACATCTTTTAAACACAGTATCTATAGAGGCAGACACTCTTAAAATTAACTTCTGAATCCATTGTTCAAAAATATCCTTCAATATGTCCAGTGTTAAAATATTTAGCTTCATTCTATATTCATAAGTCAAATTTAAGTGTTCTTCTCCTTTAATTGTAATCTTTATTTACTAGTGTCCCTCTAGTGTCCAACCTTCAAAGTTTCATCCTATCATGTTTTTTTAAGAGAATTCAAAACAAAAGCATTTTCCCATGGGAAGGATTCTTATAATTAATTCCAAAATCTTACTTCAAATCCATCTGGACCCCTAGTCCATTTGTAACTTTCCAAAATCAAAGTTTTGTAAAAAAAAATTTTAAGTCCTTAAACTTGTATTTAAAACTTCTTTTGTTAAGGATTTTCAGACTTGTTAATCCAAAGGTTCCTAATAGCTAAAAAGCAGTTAATAAGCAATTTGCGAAAGTGATTAGAAAAGGAAGTTAATGTCCTTAAAGGTGCTGAATGGTTTGAGCAAAATGGCTATTCCCTCATCTCCCAGAGCTCTAAACCGACCAGAGACTGCTATCTTGCAGTCTCCTCATGGGGAGCAACTGTATGGAGCATCTGTGGACAATGTCTGGTGAGGAATTACAGGAATTACAGTCTACTCGCCAGCTCTTCATTCCACTGCAGTCACTGGCTCCACTTTTAGTGGAGACATCTTCAGTTGGCCATTTCTTCCCCACAAGTCCCAGCAGCATGTAAAACTCCTCTGAGATGAAGGTCAAAAGGTATCCAGTTAGCCAATACTTATATTCTTATATCACTTCAGGAAAATCAGTCAATTTCTCTGCAGCCTTTGTACAGCTTTCTCAACTTATTAATTTCTGGTGCATAAAAAAGGCATTCATTAAAACTTGCCAAATTATATAGATGATACATCTACCTAATGAAGGCAATACCAAGCTAAGCTAAGATAATCATGGGCATCCATGATATATGATGTCATTGTGCAAATGACATGAATTACAAAGTAACTAATAATTTACATCTTTTGAGTGGTAAGATCATAATGCATGTGATGTTATAATGGCTTCTGCTGGATGCCTATGAAAATAATTTACAGAAATTCTTTCCAAAATATTTGAATGAATGTGGACATGCCCCCATTCCCAAAGATCAGAAAATCTAGGTGCACTAGCATATGCCCATAACTTTAACAGACTGAGATTGTTGATGTCATGGATTGAATCAGCATGATAGAACTGAATTATAAGCTGTTGTTCTAACTCTAGCTCTATATATGAATTTTTAATACTTTCAACATCTCTGAGATGGAACACTTGACCTTTAAGGTTAATTAATTTGATTTTTATGTTATTTCCTAAACAAATTCCAAATTAAATCCTTGATAAACAATTGCATATATGTTCCTTCCCTATAGCTATGTTTAAATTTAGTGTATTTTAAGTTTGACATACTCTTTGTTAGTGTATGTATCAGTTAAGATTCAAACCCCAGTTTATAGTTCATTTGACTCTTATGTGCTGAAGATCCCATCACTAGAAGTAGTATGTGTCGAACTTAGCTAAACCAAACCAGTTTTCTGGGTGATCTGATAGTGTTTTAATAAATTGGGAGTGCATTTCTTATAACTTTGCTAACATTCTAAACAGCATGGAAACAGTAAGTGGAAACTTAACTAATTGTGCACATTTTCTGACGTGAGTCACCACACTGAGCATACAGTCCTTGCTTTCAGTTTAACTGTTCCCAAGATCAGGGAAGAAGGACAGAGTCAACAAGAGACAAAATCAACACATTCTCTTGCTAGTCTTTTAAGCTTCTCCTTCACAGTCAGCCTGAACTAAGCTATCTCAACAGCTTCTATCTGAGACCCTAGTTAGCCAGCCTGTCCACTCATAAAGAAGAAAAAAAAGGAAATTAGAAAAGAAGGAAGTACTGGAGCGATGCTGTAAACTGCAGTTGTTCTGATTCTCTTTTGTTTTCTCACTATGGTATTGAACAGGCTCAAAGCAGTGTCCCTGAGTAAAGGAGTTGTAAAACTAGGTGAGAGCACCCCAAAAATAGATAGTTTCTACCAGCAATAGATTTTAATACAATGTTGTTGGGTGTTGCTTTTCCAAGACTGCCCCGAGGATGGCCCAAATTCCTAAGGCTTATAAAGAAAAGTTATTGATTGATTGATTTGCCTGACATCCTGGGACTTGAAATGGTTGTAAGAGCAGTGAAGATACTGTATGTAGTTTCCAGTGCTGTCCTTAATTATTAAGAATTAAATCATGAATGGCAGAAAATTGGAGGGCTGAGGGAAGAGACTGAAGAACTATCGAAAACTAAGGAAAGCATCTATTGTACTCCCTGGTGAACCCTGCCACTGTGTATTTGCAATACAAATTTCAACTGTCTCAAAGTTTTCAGTAGTGTCCAGGTTTTAAACAGCCATAAGCAAATACACTTTCCTTTGATTCTTTTGAAATCGGACAACTTAGACTTGTTTCCCCAGAACGTTTTCTTACCAAATTGTACAGCTATAGCATACATCACCTGGATTTTTGCAAAAAGTAATGTTTTACCATGGAATGAAATAAACCTTAACTATAAAGCTCTACAGAAATACAGAATGTCTTGTAGACAGAGGATTCTCATTACTTCCAGCTGGAACCAAATGAGATCTGATGATACTTAACACATACAAAATACTGAAACCGTTTTTGGAGGGGGGGGGATGAAAGAAGGAAGAACTACCAAAGGAAACTAAGCCAAGATAATGCCCTATCATCCTGAAAGCTGATCAAAGTTCAGAAGAAAGGGCCCATGTAAAATTCCAAAGGAAACAAGGGAGGAGATAAGAGAACATTTCACCAAGACAGTATATTTACACCATCTGGAAACACAAGGAGAATTATATGAAAGCCAGGAAAATTGCACGTAAATCCGGTATGCAATTAAACAATAGAGAGGCCCCTGAGGCCGGTAAACAGTTAATTGTTAATATCCATTCAGCAGCATTCAAGATAATCCCTACATTTTGCAATACCTTTGTCACTTCCATAATAGTAGAAGACTGTTCGACTCAAAGCACACCAACGTTTTTGCCACTCAAAGCCAAGGAAGCTGTGGTCTGCAAATTAAAATAATTCACATAGATTTTTACACATAACAAAATGTGTTTCTATTTTTTTTTTTTAATTACAACTCTGACCAAAATGAACAATTAATGGATGCATAATCCTAGAAGAAAAAATGTACGTACTAAGCTGCAATTTAACTGAAATGTGTTGTTGGCCATCTTGAATTTCTGGGAACAATGGACTATGAATGCCTTAAATAAATTTTATTTTACAGTTACTTGCCAATAGTCTAGTGCAAATATGAACATAGGCAGGGATTGCCAAAAGTAAGGATTATTCTCCTCCACTTACTTTGGCACCTGCCCCCAGATATATTTCTCCAATGTCTTCAAACAGAGCTTAGACAGCCATCTATTTGAAATGTTTTAGGACATCCTGCACTGACCACAGGATTAGCCCAGATGACTTCTGAGATCCTTTTCAATTCTACACTTCTATGATTATATGATAACAGATAAGAGAATGAATATTTCCAGTTCAGAAGTTCTGAAGCTTAAGATGCAAGACTTGCAAATTCGGATATATGCATATTATTTCCATCTTAATTTTCTTTTTCAATTTTCTTAAGTGTTCAGTTTCCACCAGGGCCAGTAACTTATTTTTAATTTTGCAAGAAATTACTTGCATTTTATAAACCTTTAAAGGTGTGTATGATCTTTGTATCTCAGGAATGTGGCTAATAATAGTAGCATCTCTTGTTCAGTATTGAATAAACAATGTGCATTTTCAGAATATGATTTTTTTTTGCATTATGATGAAATAATGGCATGATAGAAAAGGCTATTGCAACTGAATTAAGGATCTACATTATTGTCTTTGGAGACAAAAATAGTACGTTTAGGAAGCAGATAACCTTCTTCAGTGCCCAGTGATGACTACACTAAATACCCTAGGTATGGGTAACATCCTTCCTGTTGCATAGGATACAACATTGATGATCCCTGGAGTTATGGAGCAGGGGAAAAGGAACAGAAACAACCAACTTCTTTTGTCTGTAATATTCAGACACATAGAAGCTGTACTCCCCGCAAGAAATGTTCACTATATTCAAATACCACCCATACTTTTAATTATGGTTAAATTCTTTCAATATTTTCCAAAACAAGTGAATCATTTGCTTAGTTTTAGCCTTCTGAATACAAAATGATTGCAACTACTATAAAAATAAAGTATTATTTCCATCACCCATTTTAGTTTACCTTTTCTACGTTTTTCCAAGTATCCAGATATTGAAACAAATGGAAGATCTTGTGCCGCAATAGGAAGAAACTGATGTCCTGGAAGGAGAAAGGAAACACAGAAGAAATATTTCATTTTTCTAAAACACCACGAAATAATCTCCTGCCAGATAAAAATATATATTTACTAATGACTGTAGTTTTAGTTTATCTGAATATAGAAATTAGAAGTGTATATTCATCTGCACATTAAACTTGGCTACAAAATGGTTAAAATTTATTGAAGCATTTTATGTGGATTTGAACTCCTTTTTTTTTGTTTTTTGGTATATTCAAGAGTATGAAAAGAACATTATGGATTGTTTATTTAGTAGAACATGGAACATTCATCAGTTAAGAAAATCATCTGCTTTTACCATTAAGAAAATTAATGCTGCAGCACAGACACTTCTGTTCAGGATTTCGGCAGTCAGCCATGCCTCTGTCTAGGATAATGTTATTTCATTTTCTCCATAGCTCTCTTCCAACAATCCCAGAGGTCTCTGTAGTCGCTAAGCTTGTGCAGCCTTTGCTGGGCAATCTTAAATTGTTACCCACATATTTTAGTACAATTAAGTTCCACAAATTTAAAATCAAACATGGCTACCAGATCTTACTCAAGTATCATCCACAATTAGTTAATCTCCTAAATTCAGTTAAACACATTTTTGAAAAGTCAACTGTCATTTTCCTAGTGGTAGAAAAAGAAAGTCAACCTCCTCCTTAAAACATCTGCTCACTCAGCATTATGAGAGAACAAACACAATTATTTATTAGTAGCAACAAATGTATGGAATTTTTAATCAATTTATAGCAATTGATGAGAATTCTTTAATGAGTTACTTTGAATGCCGTATAGAAAGAAGGTGGGTATAAAATGAAATAAAATACATAAAATATAAATAATCACATTGGACCTAAAAATCTTTTTAGGATTGCTACCTCAATAGCATTTATTACACTTATTAAGCTTACAGAGACAAGTTCACACTTGTTTTATGTGTGCTCAACATCAGCTCTCTTATAAGCATAACCCAACGTCAAGAATGGCTATAGAAGAAGCTTAGAAAAGAACTCTTTGGATACATGACGTAAATTCATCATTAGCAGTAAGTCACAAAGTTGAGATCAAGATTCCTTAATTATGACAAGGCTTAGATTTCATATTTACTTCAGCCTGGAGTTGACTTGGGTATTTTCCAAGCCTTCCAACTCTCCACCTAAGTTAGCAATTACTAGACCTTGCTCCACTTAAGAATACTATGTATATTGGTATTATGAACACCTGACACTTGTCAGTTCACACCATTATAATACTCCAATAGCTGAACCCAGTTAGAATTCATTGGTTGCATGTTTCCTACATTTCAACAAATACTGCAAATAATTGAACAGTAATTAATTTCCTCTCCTTAGTTCCCATATGCTCATTTTCCTACATCACAGTAGTTAACAGAACCCGTAGCACTGATTTCAAAGGATCAGATGGAGTGAACTGCAAAGCAGGCAATTATCCAACTGTCAGCAATTTACAATGATTACCAAGAGCTCTTGGCATCAAGGACTAGCTTGGCACTGGGCAACATGAATCATCATTTCTCAGCATGACACAATAGGCAATCATGTTACTCACAGCATCATCTGCAGGCCTTTGGGCTACTGGAGAAAAATTAACATGAAAAAAGATTGGGGAATCTACAGAGTACTCTGTCCAGTCCAGAAATATTATCTGTAAAGAGACTAAGGGCTTCTTTGCACAGTCTGTTATAGGGAATTATCTTATTTCCAAGATGTCACAGCAGTACAACAAATTGTTTTCTCCACTTATTCAGGCTGAGGCTGCCAGAGTACATCACCTTTCATTTCTTGCCTTCACTCTTCCTAACTTCTAAGTGCACTGTTTCCTCCCTCATTTGCTATGAGATTATGTCAGGAGTCCTCGTCAACCCATTCAACTTCCCGTATTCCCTTATTTAATGATTCAGTTATCCCACTACAGAAGTTATATGGGGAGCTTGTGAACAGCTATATCATTAAATACAGCAATAAGAATACTAAAAACGATCATAACTAGAGTTAAAAACAAAAAATGGGGCACAAAAATCATACATTACTTTAAAATTATTTTTTTTAAAATCCATCCGGCACCAAGAAGACCATGGGTGAGGCCCATATTAGTGACCATTAGGGTAGATCCACTGACACTTGTGCAACTTAGAGTACTTATAGCCAACACATTCCAATGATTTCAATGAGTCTACTCCAAGTTTGACTAATTTGGGATTTAAAACTAGAAAAATGGCACTGGGCAAACTTCCCTGAGGAACTGTCCGTAATCTTGCAGCCCTCTTGTGATCCATTTTTAAAGACAGTCAGCTGTACACCATATTAACACAGTCCAAATTATAATTAATCAAAATTATCTTGCCTTGTAATGCTAAATTCCAGATTCTGACCTTTACCTTCCTGAGCTTTCTTTTATGTATTTCATAACACATCCTGCAATATAAATATTACCATGTATCCTCACTTGTCAACCATGATTATAAGAGCATTTGAGTGTTTGCCAGGTTAAAAACACAGAATGATGTATTTTTGCACAGACATAAAGGAAACAGAAAAAGGAAAAATTACTAGATTTTTTCCTTCACACTATTGTGTTAACTTAAGTTTTCATCCAGGCTTCTAAAGAGGCACAGCCAAGCTGTAGCCAAAGAAATGTATTTGCAACTGAACAGGGAACACAGAGGGTAGTTCTCAAAAATTTAGATTAATTGCTTCTAGGGCAATTATAAGTTTATACAGAGGTGCTTAAAAGTTTGTGAACCATTTTGGATTCTCAGTATTTCTGCATAAATATAACCTAAAACATGAACTGTTCTCCACACAAGTCCTAAAATGAGATAAAGAGAACCCAATTAAACAAATGAGTCAAAAACATTATTTGTTGTTCATTTATTTATTGAGGAAAATGATCCAAAACTACATATTTGTAATTCAGTTTAGGAGAACAGATCACTTTTAGGTCATATTTATGCAGAAATATTGAAAATTCAAAAGGATTCACAAACTTTAAGCCCCACTGTACATGCATACCTGTGCACCATAGGGTTAATACTTTATCTTAAATAAATTCGCTGCTTCAGGAGCATAGGTGGTGTCCTTAATAACTTGCAAATCTACTTACTATAGTAGAAGCCTTTTGCACCCAAGTTGCAAGCTTGCAGACTTAATGTTTCCAGGAGACAGAGGATTTGAAATAGATGCCTAAATATTTAAAGGCCTTATCCTGCTCTACCTGACAACTGTTAATCTTCCAATTATGGAAATTGGAATGGTGCATGGACTGGTGCAATGCTTAGTGACTATTACAACCTTCAGTTTTGAATAGTTAATTTCTAACTTTTTGTTATAACAGTGCTCAAAAGCTTCACTGAAGTCCAATTTGGGTCACAGATAACATAACAACATTGTCAGCATATAAAAGAATGGGAATTGGATTACAGGCCAGAGTCAGAGAACGGAGTTTAGGTTTTACAAGAGCCTATACTATATCATTGACACAGAAACTGCATAATAGAGGGACCAAAATACAGCCCTCTTAACCTCTTCTGAATGGGAATTGAAGCTGTCAGGTTGCAACTATCTCTGCATTTAACAAGCATTTCTCCAGCACATGATTCAATGCCATTTTTAAACCATCCAAATTCCAATGTATGATGTATCATTCATACCCTAAAAGCACATTATTATCCACAATTCTTCTTCCTTAATTGTGGTAGAAGACACTGCTATCCTCTTATTAGGTTCAGTTAGTAGCATTTAGGATAACGACTGCTGGGTCCCATCAGCCTCACATAACCAAGGTTCAAGGCACAGACTATTCCTGGTTAACATGTGGTGTCTTCCAAGTGTTTCTGTTTACAGGTTCATAATGCCAGAACATTGTCCATTCTTGCTTGGGCTCATGAGATGAGCAATATAATCCAAAGTATCTAGAGGACATTATGCTGGGGAAGGCTGCCTTAAAAATTCATTGCCTTATCTTAGAAAGGGAAAATACTTATTAGATGAAGATTTAGAAGTACTGTATATACAAATCCACAGTGAGGCAGAATACTCTATAGGTAGTCCTTGGGTTATGATGGCAATTGGGACTGGAATTTCCATTGCTAAGTGATGCAGTCATAAGATGCAACGTCACATGACCATATTGCTTAGTGATGGCAATCCCGGCAGTTCCAGGTGCTGTCATAATGCCAGGACGCACATGGGTCGTTAAGCGAGGACCTCATGTGACCATGATGTGGGAAGAGGCGGGAGTCCCAGGCAAGCAGGCCAGCAACCAAGAGCTACAGGCAAGCATGCAGGCGCCATGGGCAGGTGTCACAGGCTATGGAATGCAGGCAGCAGGTGCTGCAGGCGCTACAGAGCAATGAGTGGGCACTATGGAGCACGGACAGGTGGGTACTAAGGGCAGGCACTATGGAGCACAGGTGGGTGGGTGCCGTGGGCTGACACTAAACAGCAGCATCTTTTTTCAGGTCATGTGGAAAAGGACATGCCTGATTTAAATAGCAGTGTTGTGCTCACACACAGTCTAAAGCACGACTTCCAAATCATTTTCAAAGCATGCAAATCTGTAACAGCAAATCAGAAGCGACTAAAAACTAACCCAATGAACAATTTTAAAACTGAGTATTCAAAACTCTTAGAAATAAACAAAATAACAGATTTGAGGAAAAAGTTAATTTTAAAACACATACTTATTTGGCTCAAATATCATGAATAACTCATGGAGTTACTGACTATTGCAAAATGATTGCCATATGAGCAGAAAGGCAGGGCATCAATCAAAATAATAATAGCTGTAAGATGAATACAAAAAGATGTTTCATATTTCATTTTTAAAAGATAGCGTGCTATTGGATTATGAGATGCATTTGACAGTGCATCATTATACTATTAATAAAATACTGCTTAAAAGCTATTGTAAAGGCTACATTATCAAAGTTAAGAGTGTTTGAGGGTTGTAGGATAATTATTCCTTTGGGGAGCAG